GGGTGGCTCAGTCGTTAAGTGTCTGCCTTCGGCTCAGGTCATGATCCACGGTCCTGGGATCGAGCCCCGCATCGGGCTCCCTGTTCGACAGGAGGACTGCTTCTCCCTCTCCCTCTCGTCCTGCTTGTGTTCCCTCTCTCGCTGTCTCTCTTGTCAAATAAATAAATAAAATCTTTAAAAAAAAAAAAAGATCTAGGCTGGGCAACGAGTTTTAGACAACACAAAACACCACCCATAAAAGGAAAAATCAATAAATTGGACATTAACAAAGTTAAAAAGTTTGCTCTCTGAAAGACTATTAAGAAGACAAAAAGACAGGCTACAGAATGGGACAAAATATTTACGAAACACATACCTGACAAAGAACTAATATTTAGGATATAGAAACAAATCTCAGCAGAGTTAAAACAGGGAGAGTTTGGTAAAAGGATACAAACATTCAGTTATGAGATGTATAAGGTCTGAGAATCTAAAGTGTAACATGTGTCTCTAGTTGATAACATTGTGTTTTATCACTGGCATATGCTAAGAGTAGAACTTAGATGTTCTCACACAAAAGGTAAATATGTGATGGATGCATTTACTGGAAGGGGGAATCTTTCACAATGTATACATATGTTAAATCATCACATTGTAGACTTTATCTTACAATTTTATTTGTCAGTTATACCATAGTAACGCTGGGGGAGGGGGGGTGGTTCCAAACAGTAAAACAAAAACAAAACAAAACAAAAAACCACACACAATCCAATAAAGAGACATTTCACTGAAAAGGATACATGGATTGCAAATGAGCACATGAAAAGATGTTCAATATCATTAGCCAGTTGGGAAATATTAAGAACTTAAAATGACAATGAGGTATCACTAAATACCTACCAGAATAACTAAGATAAAAAATAGTGACAACACCAAATGCTGGAGAGAATTTGGAGAAATTGCTTCACTCATAACTTGCTGGTGGGCATACAAAATGGTACAGCAGTTTGGCAGTTTCTGAAAACCTGAACATGCAACTGCCATGCAACCCAGCAAATTGCATTTCTGGACATTTATTCCAGCAAAATGAAGAATCCCAGTCACACAGAAACCTATACACAAAAGTTGACAGCAATTTTATTCATAAAAGCCCAATACCGGAATCTGTCCAGATGTCCTTCAGTAAGTGAATAGTTAAACTGTGGTATATCCATCACGAAATACTACTCAGCAAGAAAAAGACACAAACTACTGATGTAGGAAACAACTGGAATTAATCTCCAGAGAATTATGCTGAGTAAAAAATGCCAATTTCAAAAGGTTACATACCAAGTGCTTCCATTTATATTACAATCCTGAAACGAGAATTTCAAAATTATAGAAATAGAGAACAGATTAATAGTTATCAGGGATTAAGAATGGGGTGGGGAACAGGTGGAAAGTGGGTATACTATTAAGGGTCAATGTGAGGGATTCTACTGGTGATGGAATGTTCTGTATCTTGACTACATCAATCTCACTATCCTAGTTGTAATATTATAGTGTAGTTTTATAAAATATGACCTTTGGGGAAAACTGGGTAAATGGCACAGATCTCTGCATTATTTCTTATAACTACTCATGAATGTACAATTATCTCAAAATCCAAAATTTAATTTTTAAAAATTTGATACAGAATATTTTTCCTCTTGATAATTACTGACAATGGATATAGTGGAGTTGTTCATGTTTGATACACTCATTATTTCAAGAAAAAGTTTTTTTAAAAATTCATATTCCAATGTCATTACTTGAATGTCAGCTGCAGTTGGGTAGTAATGTGTAGCATCAATTGTTTGCATTATTCTTCAAGTCACCAAGACTCTAAAAAAATCACAACCAATGAGCCTTCTAGAATCCAGTAATATGAATTTCCTTAAATGATATTTTTAAATCTCACATTAACAAGGAATAAGTTTGGATATTGTAGCCTGTACACAGAAATCAGATAGGTCTATAAAGAAAAATGTTTTTAAAATATTCACTATTCGAGGGACACCTGGGTGGCTCAGTCAGTTAAGCCCCTGACTCTTGATTTCAGTTCAGGTCATGATCTCAGGGTGGTGGGATCCAGCCCCACATAGGGCTCCAAGCTCAGCGGAGTCTGCTTGAGATTCTCTCTCCCTCTGCTCCTCCCCCGGCTCATGCTCTCTCTCTCTCTAAATTAAATAAATAAAATCTTTAAAAAATATATTAAAGGGCGCCTGGGTGGCTCAGTTGGTTAAGCGACCGCCTTAGGTTCAGGTCATGATCCTGGAGTCCCGGGATCGAGTCCCCCATCGGGCTCCCTGCTCGGCAGGGAGTCTGCTTCTCCCTCTGACCCTCCCCCCTCTCATGTGCTCTCTCTCATTCTCTCTCAAATAAATAAATAAAATCTTTTAAAAAATTAAATAAATAAATAAAAATAAAAAATATTAAAAAGTCACTATTTGAATATGTTTGCTATTTGAAATGACTGGGGAATGCTTGTTTCTATCAAAGAAGTAAAAAATGTAAATACTGTGAAATTGACATATATTTCAAATGCATTTGAAAGTTAAAGTCCTTCTTAAACTGATCATTACTGACTGGATATAGCAGAGTTGATAATTACTGACAATGGATATAGCGGAAGAAAATAAAATCAATCTCCCTAAAATGAAAGAATTACGGTGATATTTATCAAGAAATTTGCATTGCGTTAACCCCATTTACCAACATCTTTCAAAAATTTCTATCTTTGTATGAGTTAAATAACATAGGCTTAAGGACAGATTTGGAAATATACTGACATTGACTATCATGGTTATATTTAAAGATCGCTGTGATTAATCCGTTTGTGATTATGTAAAACAGCATCAGGATAATGTAGGTAGGTCAAATACCTGTTCCACTGTTGCCTGATTAAATCCGTGTGAAGAGGAAACGTTTTAGATCTAATTCAAACTTTTACATCCACTTATTTGGAAACAAGGTACACTTTTATAATAGTACCTCCAACTATATATTTGTTTTGAAACAGATTTCAATTGCAGCTACTGCAAAGGTGAATAAGAGGTAAACTGCTAATATGTAATGGATTTGACATTCCTTTCAACTTAGAACTAAATTAACGTAGATGTTGCATTAATAGGAATCGTTTTATCAATACTGTTTTCAAATAAAGTGAGTCGTTTAAAGTTTAGTTGCGTAAGAAATCCGTGATATGAAATTGGCATCTTGACTCTGGGCTGTATGTAAATTGAGGGCGAGGAAGAAACCGACTGAGAGGGCAGCCACGCTCGCTGGGAGCCCGGCAGTTGTTCGTGGAGAGGGCGCCCCCTGGAGGCCATGGCCGTTCCTCGCTCTTTGGCCCACTGGTCTGGCCCGCACCTGCCAAGGAAAGCGAATATTTTTCTCGTTTATCCAACATGAGTATGACGCCACGCTGTGTGCCAAGCGCCAGGAGCGCACCGCGGCAAAACAGAGTACTAAGGAAGAATAGGGACGCGAAAGCCGGCGCAGGTACGAGCCATCCCGGAATCCGCCCAAACCCACAACTGACCCCAGGTTCTGCTGGGCGCTTGGCCCTGCGCGCGGCCGGGGGCGGGGCTTGTCGCCCGGGGGCGGGGCCTGTCGCCTGGGGAAACCACCCGCGGGCCGCGCGCGCTGCCAGGCCCGGGGTTCCGTTGAGCGGCTGCTGGTAGACGCCCTGAACGGTTGCCTCCCAACGGACGCCAGTGGCGGGAGAGGGGTCTCTGAGGTTCCGGGCACCGAGGCCCCTGCGACTGCGACCGGGGCAGTGGCGAGTCCCCGGTCGCCCTTTTCGACGCCGCGACGGGCTGCAGCGACAGTGGCTATGGTTCGGGTTGGTTGCGACCGGCCCGGGTGGGCCTCGGGGCCCGGTGGCCGACCGGCTTTTGCCCGCCCCAGTCCCCTACAGCTGGAGGTGTGCGTCCCCCCCGTGGGGGAGAGGCGGAAGTGCGGGCGCGGGTTCGCAAAGTCCCCTCTCCTCGCCTTGACCGGGTCCGCCCTCGCCGGGTCAGTGGCCGGAAGCCCGGCCGCCGCTCCCACCAACTCCCGCGGAGGGAGCTCCCGGAATTCCCTCCCTGGCAGCGCCTGTTTGTGGCTTGGAGAGGCGAAAGTTGACTCTGAAGTAGCCTCGAAGGGACTCCTGCTCAGGCCTGGAGTCACGTTGCAGGTGTCAGTCTGTTGTTACCCAACTTGGGGTCCCAGAAGCTTGACCTCACGAATACCCGGGATACTCAGTGGTTTAATCAGCAAAGGCAAGTTTTACCCACCTCCTTGATCCCCTCACTACTTTTTTCCAAAGGGTTCTCAGTGGCCTCAAAACCTCTTCCTCAGTGAATTCTAGTACACATTATTTTGGAGTCTCCTTTAAGGTTCAGGTCCTCAGGGTAGACTAGGTAATGTCACCACTTCCTTGCTTCCTCCAGGGACAGAAGCCTCTAGGGGCACCAGCTTCACAGAGGTCCAGCCTGTGCAGTCACACAAGGCTCCATGCTCAGAAGGAGGGCCTTGCACTTGTTTAAATGCTCTGCAGTCACAGTTCGAAGTTCTTCATTTTTTTTTTTTAAAGATTTTATTTATTTATTTGACACAGAGAGAGAGAGAGAGCACAAGCGGGGGGAGAGGGAGAAGCAGGCTTCCCGATGAGCAAGGAGCCCGACGCGGGGCTGGATCCCAGGACCCTGGGATCATGACCTGTGGTGAAGGCAGACGCTTAACCGACTGAGCCACCCAGGTGCCCCGAAAGGCCACTGGGCCCAGCAAATTGTAAACCTGGTACTGGCCCCAACTCTCATCTTTTCCTGAAGGCCTTCTTTGATAAAATTCAATTATATAAAAAACAGTTAAAAGGGATTCTTCTCTAGACTACTCAGTAGCTACTAAGACATCAAGAAACAGAGGAGGGATGATTCTATTAACTAAACTTAACAGTTGTTGGAATCATGAGACCTTTCTGATCCAGTGCTCACCCCCCGCCCCTCATATTTCAGGGCCTTTGAAGAATATGCAGAATGTGAAAGTACCACACTTCTGAAGGCAACGATGTTTGGTTCCTTGCCCAAGGATAGAAGCAGGTGAGAAATCAGCTGTATTAATGGGTGCTCTGGGATTACTTTCACAGATGCCCTGGAAGGACTGGTGCAGGTGTGGTGGGGAGGGGGGGAGGACACTTCAGGAAGGAAGCTGAGAGGCTCTATAGCTGTGCTGTCCAGTACCGTAGCCACAAACTACAAGTGGCTATTGTGCCCTTAAAATGAGGCAAGTCTAAAATAAGATGTGCGTCACTCATCATCCGGAAAATGCAAATCAACACTATAATCAACAAATCAACACCTCGCACCTGTCAGAATGACTAAAATCAACAACACAAGAAACAACAGGTGTTGGTGAGGATGTGCAGAAAGGGGAACCCTCTTGCTTTGTTGATGGGAATGCAAACTGGTACAGCCACGATGGAAAACAGTATGGAGTTGCCACAAAAAGTTAAAAGTAGAATTACCCTATGACCCAGCAATTGCACTACTAGGTATTTACCCAAAGAATACAAAAATACTAATTCAAAGAGATACATGCACCCCAGTGTTTATAGCAGCTTTATCTACAATAGCCAAATTATGTAAACATCCCAGGTGTCCATCGACTGATGAATGTATAAGAAAGATGTGGTGTGTGTATATATATATATATATACATATATATATATACATACATATACACACACACACACAATGGGATACTACTCAGCGATAAAATACAAAATCTTACCATTTGCAATTACATGGATGGAGCTAGAGAGTATTATGCTAAGTGAAATAAGTCAGAGAAAGACAAATACCATATGATTTCACTCACATGTGGAATTTAAGAAACAAAATAAATGAGCAAAAGGAAAAAAAAAAAAGGAGGTAAACCAAGAAACAGACTCTTAACTATAGAGAACAAACTGATGGTTACCAGAAGGGAGGGGGGTGAGGGGATGGGTTAAATAGGTGATGGGGATTAAAGAGGACACTTGTGATGAGCACCACGTAATGTATGGAAGTGTTGAATCACTATATTAATCACCTGAAACTGATGTTACACTGTGTATTAACTGGAATTTAAGTACAAACTTAAAAATATAGATGTGAACAGGAGTCTTTAAAAAAATAAAAATAAAATAAGATGTGCTATAAGTGTAAAATGTACACCAGATCACCAGATTTTAATGTCTTGTTTCTTAAAGTAAAATATTCTATTTTTATGTTGATTACATGCTAAAATGATATTTTGAATATATTGAGTTAAATAAAATATATTAAAATTAATTTCACCTGTTCCTTTTTACTTTTTAATGTGAATACTAGAAATTTTATATATGTAGTTCACATTATGTTTCTTTTGGAGACCACTCTTCTAAAGATTTCAGAGTATTGAAAACTACTTAAAATGTTCAGAAAAACTGCTTCTCCCCAAAAAACTCACATTGCCCTTCCTCTCCCAAAGAATACTCCTGTGTAGTCTAGAACTGCAGAATTATTATAGTCACTCGTACAGGAAAGTCTCAAACTTCTGTCCACTCTTGCCACTGGAACCAATTCAGATGCTGGCAGAACTGTTTCTACTGCTTTGTCTGTTTGTCTGGTTTTGTAGAAGTAAACTATAGAGAATGCAGAGAAGGGAAGGAAGAAGTAACAAGGGAAGGTCACTGCACCAACCTTAGCTCTAAATTATTATATTGTTACAAATTATGGGATTACAGCAGCCTTGGCCTGACTCCTTCTTGTCAGTCATGCTACCTTAGAAAAATAATTAGCTTTAGCGAAGAAATTGCCTGGTGCACTGGTCTGAAGTATAGATAGGAGCAGAAAATTGTCTATATTCAAGCTCTCACTTGAGCAGCATCCTTCAGTTATGGAAAATACAAGATACTGGGTAGACTCCAGTATCTTCAGTGTTTTGAATGTCTCTTAAAAGCAATGTGGTAAGTGAAGATGTCAGCTCTAAATCAATGTGTATTGGAAGCTAGTCCTAACCCAGTCCTCCTAGAGCCTCTAGTTCCCTGGAAAGTGGCCCTAGTGTGGGAATGTGAGTGAAGCGGGAGGAGGGGGTGGGGAGGACTGGTGCCTTGGAGGGAATAACTTGGAATTCTGGACTTTCTGCAATTTCCAGTAGGTTGAAGCTCAAGCATTTCTCCTGGCACCTAATAAGACATATATCAAATCGATGTACACTAAGAAGAGCTAGCTTGATCTTATCATGATCTTGACTTTAGGCAGTGAAGGCATCTTGACCTATAGTCTTTCTCATGAGAAGTTTTAAAACTACAAATTCAATGTCTTTAGTAGACATAGGACTGACTATTCAAGTTATGTATTTAAGTGAGTCTTAGTCATTTGTGTCTTGAAAGGAGTTTGTGTATTTCATCTAAGTTTCAAATTTATGGGCATGCAGTTGTTTGTGATATTGTCATATTCTTTTAATGTCCAAGACCTGTAGTGATGGCCACTTTTTCATTTCATTGCTTTGATACCTTGTCTTTTTCTCTTTTTTATCAGTCAGGCTACAACAATTTGTTGACATTTGGGGCTGAATAATTATTTATTGTACAGGGTTCACCTTTCTAGGATGTAGGATGTCCAGCAACATTCCTGGCCTTTATACCCACTAGATGCCAGTAGCATTGCATCTTTATCCCTACCCCCACCCCAACTGTAACAATCAGAAATGTCTCAACATTGCCAAATGTCTCCTGAGAGGCAGAATTACTTACTCCTGGTTGAGAACCACTGCGTTAGGCTACCAGTTATCTTTTGGAGCAATTAAAAAAAAATAAGAACAAATATATCTTTTGTACTTTACTTTCATTTTAACTATTTCTGGAAATCTTCATTTCTTTGTGTAGATGCAAGTTCTGTTTAGTATCATGTTCTTTCTGTTGAAGGAAGTTGTTTTGACCTTTATTTTAGTGCTGGTCTGTTGATAATAAATTCTCTTGGTTTTGTTTGTTTGTTTTTTCGTTTTTTGTCTGTCTTTTGAAGTCTACTTTTCCATCATATCTGAAAGATATTTTCCCTGGGCACAATATTCTGCATTAACAGTATTTTTCCTTTAGTGTTTTACAGTTATTACTCCACTGTATTCTGAGTGGCATAGTTTCTAAGTCAGCTGTAATTCTTTGTTTCTCTGTACTGTATCTTTTCCTCTGTGGCTACCTGCAAGATTTTCTCTTTAACTTTGACGTTTCAGCAGTTTGAATATAATATGTTGGAGTGTGTATTTTTTGGTGTTTATTCTGCTTGGGAATCTGAGCTTTTTGTACCTGTGGTTTGGTATATTTTATTATTTTTGGAAGATTCAGCCATTCTTCAAATGTTTCTTCTGTTATCTCTCTCTCCTTCTTAAATTCCAAATACACTTTTATTAGACTGTTCGATATTTCCTACAACACTTGAACACTTACTTGGGTTTTCTTGACGCTTTTTTATCTTTGTATTTTAGTTGGGTAATTTCTATTATAGAGCTTCAATTCATGCTTTCCAAGTTCATGCTGTATCAAGTGTACTGATTGGCTTTTTGAAGGTATTCTTCATCTCTGTTACTGTGTTTTCTGTTAGCATTTCCATTTGACATAGTTTTTATCTCTACTGAAATTTTCTATCTGATCATTCCTGTTATCTACCTTTAATATGTATGATTAATATATTAATTAATGCTATTTTAAATTCCTCTTATAGTTCCAACACTTAGGTTATCTCTGAGCCTCATTCTGTTGGTTGATCTCTCTCTTACCAATGGGTTGTTTTTCTTTTTTTTATGTGTCTGATAATTTTCTATCCAATGCTAGGCATCTTGTATAAAACAGTAGAAATTAAGATAATGTATGAGTCAAATAAGCATGTTTCTTCTTCTGCTAGGTCAGTAATGTGGAGTGTTGAATAGTCAGTAGTAAAGCTGGGTTTGGGTTTTATTATCCTACCTTCAGTACACCATTGATTTCAATTTCCTGTAGTGTTACCTTATACTTAAAGTGTGGGCTGGAATGCTGCAGGGATTTTCTCAATATTCCTTTTCTGCTCTCAGCTTCTCACCTTCCTTTTAACCTGCACCAAAAGGGCCTCTCTCCATGCCTTTGCCTTTCCCTCTGCTTGTAACCTGCTGCTTGATAGCTTGGTGGTAGTGGGAGGCAGAGGACCAGTCATCTTGGTCCAGCCTCTCTTAAGCAAGCCTTATATGTTTAGGCCTTCAAAGTGGGGCTTCCTCAGCCCCTCAGTCTCCCTATGACAGACAAAATTCTACCTTGCATCTTTGATGAGTCTTGAGAAGATGAGTCTTCTGATTCCTGTAATTGTATTGACATGAGATCTTGGGCCCAAGACTGTTTCCTGTCCCTTCTTACCCAGGGACAGAAGCTCTTTTTCCTCTCACTCCTACTCTTACCCAATATCAAGGGCCCTTTACCTGAGCCCTGGAGGCAACAGAGTCTGCTGCTCCTTTCCCAGTGGCTTGAAGCTATCATTCATAGGAAGGGGATGGCAGGACTTGGGCGTTTTCCACAGTGGGAGCTTACTCTCCTCCAGCAAGGCCTTCCCCTCCAAGGGTGGTGCTCTGTGGTATCCTCCTTGTCCCCACTTTTTCTCATCAGCACCCAGTGAGAACATGGAGAAGTGGCTGTAAGTGGAAACAAGCTCCTTTTTTGTCTGAGGCTCTGAGGGATTATAAACTTTCATCCTTTTCCCCACTTGGCCTTTAGCAATTTGTTAACAATTTTAGCTGAATTCTTAGCACCTTTTATGGTACTTGATGTCTCTTCTACAGTGCTCACATCCTATCTTCTTGGTGGGGCCAGTCTTTCCTTGGAGCTCAGGCTACTTGCTTGGTCTGTGACCCTTGCTAGGATGTCCAACCATCCCAATTTGTGTGGAACTGAGGAGTTTCCCAAGACATGGGACTTACAGGACTAAAATGAGGAAAAGTCCAGTTAGTTACCCTAGCCTCAGCTCTCCAACAGGTTTAAGAAAAGATTTTCTATAGTTTTTCTAGTTGTTTAGGTAAGAGTGATGTTCTTTCTAGGTTTCTACATCCTAGGTAGAAGCCAAATTAGTGAAATACACATGTTGAATGTGAACAAAAATTGTTCTTGAGATACTAAAAAGCCATATTGTTTTTTACTAAGGCAGACGGATTTTTGTGAAATTTTCCCTAACATAGAGAATAAGCAAAATTAGTTTAGTCCCTGCCATTCTTTTGTCTGTCAACAACAGATTTATCCTATTACCTAAATAAACTCCAGCTGAAGAGGTAGATTCTTACCTATTCTTCCTATAACTCTACTCAACATTCACCTAGCACTAGATTTGGATTTTACTTCCAGCAGGTGAGTAGCTCCTATAGATTTTTTAGTGAAACCAAAAAAAAGAAAGAAAGAAAAAATCTTGATGCCCTTTTGTGGAGGAGGAATAAGGCTGAGTACAGTAATAGGCTTTCAACAATAGTGACCACCTCTGAGTAAATGTGTATGTACGTGTACACATGTGTGTATAATTTTGCTATCAGCTGTCTGGGAACATACTTGATTTACATTGCCATTGGTAGTACATCTGGTCTTGTGGTTTTTATTTCAGATATCAAGGGAGCCTGGGAGTGTTTGTGACCCCTCCAGCCAGCACTAATGGTAATGAGGTAGGCAGCCTCAAGGCAATGCTTTATATTTTGTGTGTTGATGAAGACTCTTTCATTTGCTCAGCTATTCCTTGGAGTATCCAAGAGAAATACTTACAGCTGTTCAATGAGCTTGTAGGCTGTATATATGATATCTTCCTATTAAAATTGTCAATAGTTTGATTAGTATAAGAAATATGGCACAGAAACCTTAAGGCCAGGAGCATGTATAATCTCAACAGCTGTGGGGTTTATATGGCAGTAGATATAATAGCTAAGATGTATAGTGTTTATCATGTGTCAAGCATTGTTCTAAGAGTTTTACATCTATCAACATATTGAATCCTCACATATAGAAGCTTTGTAACAATCCAGGGGCATCTGGGTGGCTCAGTCAGTTAAGTGTCTGCCTTCAGCTCAGGTCATGACCCCAGGATCCTGGGATCGACCTCCGTGTTGGGCTCCCTGCTCAGCGGGGAGCCTGCTTCTCCCTCTCCCTCTGCCATTCCCTGTGCATGTGCTCTCTTGCTCTTTCAAATAAGATCTTAAAAAAAAAAAAAAAAAACAACTTCATAACAATCCTAGGACATTAGGTATTATTATCTACATATTACAGATTAGGAAAATGAGGAACGAAAAAGTTTGGTAATGTGTTCAGGTCACACTGAACAAATGATGACTTAAGCTCATGCAGTCTGTTTCCAGAGTTCTTTTTACCACTATGACAAAGACAAAGAAGAGGTAAAGATTTCAACTTTCAGGAGGGTATATAGTAGTGTGGGAGCTGTGTATAGGTCAACAAAAAAAACTTTCAAATAACATTTTGATTTTAGGTTATGTACCAAATGGAGATGTATGGAAAGCTAAAAGAGGACATGCTAAGGAAGAGGACTCAAAAAATGATAAAGTGATGTTTTGTACTCACTACAAGTCAACAAAGTATGAATTACACCGACAGGTATGGTCAAATATTTGATTTAAACTTCACGTAATACAGGTAACCCAGTAATGGGGAAATGCTGCAAAAACAACTTGCAGGAAGATCTCTACTTCTCTTCAGGAGATACTTGAATACTTCCCATTTCAAAATTGAAGATGACTTAGATGCTACTTGCCATACAGAAGAAATTGAGGCTGTGAAAATGTTATCAGCTCCATTTATGATTAAGTGACTGAGAATAAAACCAGTGAACGGTATATAAAAGAACTTTGGTTTAAAGGTGACGACGTGGACATTATCAACTCACATGAAGCACAATGAGATTCACAAATGACTAGAAAATTCCATAACCCTCCAAACCAATCCTTGTAATCATAGGACACCTAGGGGAGCAGGACAGTCAACAGGTACATCCACAACTTTGGTGAAGTCTGTTGGCAGGGACTCTGACTTTCTTGAAAAAGTAGGATGCTTTGAGGGCCTGTGATTGGTTTTTCAAGTCAAGTGATTATAAGAAAATATTGTTTATAACTATGGATGGGATGAAATCTTTAATCTAACTTAAGAGCAATCACCAAAATCCTCTCCATACCTACTGGATGACCTACATGACTTTATACAGCTCTCAATAGGCACTCATTGACATGTGAATTTGATATTCTCATGGAGGCAAAAATAATCTGAGAGTAAGGTGAGAGTACTCAGATTGCATTGAAAGGTATAATAATGCGGAAATTCTGTAGGATGTTTTCTTAAAGCTAATTTTGACCAGGGACGAAAATGTTTAGAGTGTTGGTAATCTAGTATAGCTTATAGCCCTTAATAAAAGGATGTTATATTTGCTTTACTATAGTACTTGTCCTCCAGACAAGTGAAAGAATTTAACAACCTCAGCTACATCATGATAATCTGGAATTTTCTACTCAAAAGAATTGAGTGAGGATGTACTTTTGAAGGGCCAATTCAGTACTTAAGGCATTGTCAACAATGAGTAGAAAGGGGAGCACTGTTCTACTAGGATCAGCTCTACTCCAAAACTGTGGTTATGCCTTTTTTTTTTTTTAATGAGTATTACTTTCTAAATTGAAATGATCCCACAAAACACTTGGTTTGAGGCTTGGTGAAGGGTGCCTTGTAGATAATGGATGCAGAGGACATTGGTTTGGAGTGTTTAGTGAATGTGGCTTCTCAGGTCTCCCCAGCTGTTCCAAGGACAGGTGTTTAGGCTGGTGATACTCAGGTTCTGCCTGCCCAGGATGGAGAAGCTTTCCAAGCCTCTTATATCCCCAACTACATTGTCCCAAAATTCTAGTATATTACATGGTTACAAAAAAAAAAGCAAGGAATGATCCTTGATCATTAATGATCCTTGCTAGGCTACCAACATTATCTTGCTACATTGCCTACACTTGATATAATAATGATTAGGCATCTTACACAGTCATATTTTGGTGTTGTAAGAAAGAGGAAGTTGTGAAGGGCATATGAATTCAGGTCTGCAATGGTCAGAGGTATAGTGGGAGTTAAGCAAAGCACTCTGGTCAGTTCTTACCACATAAATGGGAAGGTATGTCTGGGTGTTGAAGGTGTTTGTGACCACTCTCATGGTACTTATGGGCCTAACAAAACTCAACTGCATATGTTTTTTCCATGGTCTCAGTAGTTTGCCACACCTGGCTGTGGGAACCGTTTGGTTGTTCAGATACCTGTCTGGAACATCACAAGGCCTAGACAGCCACTGACTAGTTGCCAGAGTCAGAAACTCTGCTGTTATAATTGTTTCCTCACAGAGTAATCATGAGGGCTTGTGTAATAGGATATGTTGGTGCTATGAATCCAAAATGGCAAGTATTAACTTGTATAACAGTGTAACAAAAGTATTTTGTATAAATATAAGAAACCTGAGTAGGAACTTAAAAGTGCAATCTGCACTGATCAATTTAATTTGGTGCCTCTCAACCTTTTTTTTTTTTCATAGTTCCTCTTCCCACAAAGAGATTTTCTATATTTTCTCTTAAAGTGTTCACAGATTTAAGGCCAGTTGATGAATATTGCTTTTCCCCCATAGGTGAGGATAAATGGAAAGAGTAGGATGGATCTTACTGTTACTACAGGCAGTACTAGGTATTTTATTTTCAGGTTGTATTTGGAGAGAAGCAAGCATCTTTGCCTCTTTGGAGTAGGAAGTTCAGACTGGTAAAAGGTAGCTCTTCTCCCTTTTTTTAATTTAGGGGAAAAATTAAAGTAACTTTTTACATTTGGCACTTTTTCTTGTTAAAAGTTTAAGGTGATTGTTGTTTATTTTTGCAGGTATTTTTACAAAGAACTAAGATTATAAGCAGTGTCATATCTCTGGGTCTTAAACAACTTTTAAACAGGGTTTTTAGAAACTTAGACTAAACCTTAGACTAATCCTTGAGTTTTGAAGCTATTTAATTTTGTGAGCTAATTACATTAGGAACTAAAGTGAAGTAGGTAATGTCTTGGAACTTTGCCACCTTTTACACTTTCTACTTTGGGAGTTGATTATAAATGAGGGTGGTGGATGAAGGTGGATAGAATTAGTGCAGTGGCATTGGACTTACATAATTGAATGGAAAAAGGACAACCATTGATCTCATCATGCATTAAAATATAAACCTATAATTTAATTATTACACTGTATAACCACCACTGAGATCAAGAAAGAGAAGATTGCCAGCCTTCCACATGTTGCTTCCAAATTACAACCCTTCTCCCCACAGGTAACCACTATTCTGACCTTAGAGTAATTCCTTTTTTTATAGCAGTGTTCCTCATCTGGCATGAGCATCATCTGGGAACTTGTTAGAAATGCAAATTCTTGGGCCCTTCCCAAGACCTAACACAGTTATACATTTTTGTGTGGGGGTGAATATTTATGTAGGTAAAGTCTACAGCAGTGATTCTCAAGCTTTAGCGTGTATGAGAATGACCTGGATGGCCTATTAAAACAGAGGTGCTGGGGCCTACACCTAGAGTTTTTGATGATCTCTTTCTGGTTGTCTGTTTTATTTACTGATTCTAATTTTCTTATGTGCTGGGCATGTTTGACTCTGTGCAAGTCATTGCACTTGAAATGTTATTTTGCAGGAATAACTGTGAGGCCTATAATGCAACTACTTTGCTCCAAAGAGTATTTGCATTTGCTTCTGACAGGCACCTGGGGGCACTATCAGTCTGGGATCGCTTGTTCAAAGTTTGATTTTTCCTGGACAACTCAAGGGATTCTTACTTATGTTTTAATTCTCTTTAGATTATCCCAGTTCTTGTTCCCTTCACTCTGAGATCCCGGAACCCAGATTGTTGTAAGGGAAAGACTCCTGTCAGATTCCCCAGCTTGTTTGGATCCAGAGTTTTTCCCCTTCTGTACCCTGAAAGGCCAGGACAATGGAGGGTCTGAGTTCCTGGGATTAGCTAGTACTCTCAGGGAGAAAGTGGCTTCTGGCTTGTTCACCTCTCTAGATTCTTGACTTCTCTTTACTTTTGGCCTGATAATTCCTTACTATTTTGTAATCTCTTTGATGCTTTTGAAAAGACTATTTTAAATATATTTTATCCAGTTTTTTTAGTCGTTTTCAGTTATAGGACTGATGTGAACAACCTGAACCACCTTTACCAGAAGGGAAATCTGGGAAATAAATTATTAATGCATAGGATTTTTTTCAAAATACTGTGGTTTTTCAAAACATTCAAAATCTATGGATATTTATATCCTTAAAAAACTTTTGTTTTTAGCTTACAACTTCTCCCAGACATGGGACACACAAGATGGTTTTAGTATAAAAACTCTCCTTATGAAAAGATTCCCAGGGTTGCATATTTATGACCTTTAACCACTCCAAAAGGCTCTGATATTTCTGGTGGGTTCCAAGGAATGCTTACCACAACTTGAGAAACCCTGACAAACTTCAGAGATGTGCCTAGTACAGGACCCATTTTGCAGCTTATGGGTTTATTATTGCCTAGAGCTTTAACCAGTCTGGACACACCAAATTTAGGAAGCATAGATGGCTTACACTTTTATCCCTAATGTTTCTGTCTAGGATAACATGTGGAATGCCCCAAACTTTATTTACTGTCAAGTTCTAAGCACTTGATAGATGATATTTTAACCACCTCCCTCTCTCCCCCAGAAGTACGTCATATCATCTTCTTTTCCTGTTTGACGCCTATGTCATGTTGCTCCCTTGAGATAGGCAAGATTCTCAAAGAGAAAATACCCCTTCCCAGTCCATTGCTGACAAATCAGAGTACATTCCTTCCAGATAGGAATGATTCTGTTACATCTATCTTTAGATATCTTTTGAAGGGGATGGGAGATGGAAGTACACTAATGCTACACACGTGCATTTGGAAGGTAAACTGGTAGGCTTTCCAGATGTCAGAGATTGTTAGTAATACGGTGAGACACTTTATCTTGAATACTCTCACTGATGCTTGATGAATAGGATGTGTAGCAATCCGTGTAGGCTAGGTTTGGGATAGGAATGAACAGACTCTGAGAGCTATTTGTAGAGTCCTCTAAGGCTACTTGACAGTCATTTGATGAATGTCAGGATCCCCTGAAGGTGGTAAGGGTTAGTTGTAGTGGAGCACACAACCTCTCTAAGTTGTGTGTCGGGATAAATGCCAGAATTTAATCCTGATGGTAGCAGGCATTAGCGTTATCTCAAATAAGGGCTATAACCCAACTAGTTAGAGCAGAGAATGCCTTAAGGCAGTAGAACACATGCTGCTCCCCAGTACCTTTCTCTGCCTTTCTTTTCCCTCCCTGAGATGTGCCCAAAATCTATGCATAGGCTTATGGTACTAATGCAGGCTGGAAGTCCCACCAGGTCAGAGGGACACTGAGTCTCCTCAGTCTGTGTTTTTCTTTATCAGTTTAGAGCATGATGTCATCGATATCTAAATCAGTAAACCTGGATTCTTGTTACCTTGTTGCTGGACCTAAAGTTCATGTTTTGTGTATAGACTTTCAAACTGTACCCCAGTATGTAGGAACTCTCCAGTTCAGAGCTACAAATAATGGGCATGTGGGTGGGAGGAGGGTGCTTTCCGTATAACACAGGGGCTTTCCAACCGTGGGATTTCTCAAGTTACAATACTTAAAAAGTCATGACCCAGCCCAATCCACCCCTTAGTTGATAGCTTTTATATGGACCAACACATTAATCTCCAGACCAATATGATGCCATCATTTATTATTTTCACACAATTCATCCCTTAAAAATAGAAATAGTGCTGTCACAAATAAACTTCCTTATTATAATTTCTACTTTACTAAAAGGTGTGGAGAACTAGGACCACATGAAGTCCACTCAGTTTAACCATTTCCTTATGGACATAGCTTACTGAATCCCATGTGTTTGGGGAGTTGTCTGGGATATAAGTATTTTCCCTCTTTAATAGCACATGCTCCTCCTCCCTCCCTGGCTAGAATATAATCTTAAGGGCATGTGGTTGGAGACCACCATATATCTTATGGCTTCAGTTTCTTCCGCATTATTGTTGCGTAGCTGGTCATCTATAGCTGTATCACAGATCTTTGAAGTAGCCCTGTCAATCTGAACTTTGGAAATTATATACTCCATTCTGTTCCTGAGCCCAGTCGGGATTTGTGGGAGCTATTTAATGGCTCCCAGTGATGGGCTAGTTAGTTCCAAGTAGCATCTCCCCCTGTATTCCTCAGGCAGCCATTGGTGTACACGCAGTCCTCGTAACCAGTAAGTGGGAGAATTAGGAGTAGACCTGCACCTTTTGCCAAAACCGAGTCCAATTTTTGGTACTTGATATGGATATTATAATATAGGA